TTTTTCAAAAGCACAATACCGTTTGCAGGAAAAGTGGATCATTAGCTCAGGTGCGAAGTATACGACGGATTATAGAAACCGCACCAGGTACTTGCTACGTACGAATGAAAATTTCAAGCTACGGAAAACATTCGAAGAATTCATTATATTTTCGTAGAGCAGATTTTTACCTCACCTTCGCTCTTCTCAATGCCGATGCTTCTTATGTTTTTCAGTATGTAGTTTATAGATCTCGACTCCGTCTCCTTAGAAGATGTGCAGGTTCATGTGTTGACGACGCTCGTGAAGGCTTTCCTTCGAGAAATGCCTGAACCGCTGATCACTTTCGACCTTTATGAGAATTTTCTCAACGTCTCTGGTGAGTGTAATCTTCAATGTTCGTTTGATCTCAGAGAGATACAAGAGGTACTCGTCATCCGTATTTTGCTGCTAACCAGAAGTGCTTGAGTAGTTAGGTTCCTTATGGAATGGTTGTTTCCAGAAAATTCGGTTTGTTCTGAATATGTTAGTGAATACTCAACTGTGATAGGCNTTCAGAATGGTTACCCACCATTTCTATTCAGAATAAAAAACTGATCCCTGTAGAGTAAAGATTTCCTTAGGGAATGGACCGAAGCGGCAAGGTAGTTTAGGTGAATAAGTTGCGCTCTTCTCTGTTCCCATTAGAAGTTTCTGAGGATAAACTGATTTTCCTGGTGAAACTCTAGAATTCAATTGACCTTCGTCATTGATCACTCACTTCATCAAAATGGTATTGAGTTTCCGAGAAATGCGTCATCCAAGGTTTGAATCAATTTTGTGCCCAAAAGTCTGCCGGGCCACGGGGTTCTTGCCGATCCCGCTGGAGGGCTGATATACGTACCATTGGGTAGAAAAGATGGCAAATTTGGAAATATGAAGCGAATGTGTCGCATAAAGAGACATCCCTACTTCTGGGATATCACTGTTCTCTGTTATTCAGAGACACAGTTCACTATAAAAATAATTTCTGAGATTGCTCCCTAATACGGACCTGTGATCTCAAGGATAGCGTAAGGGACGCTGTCGGATCAACCAACGGCCCATATAGGTGATAATAAGGGTTCCAAAACTGACTTAGCCGACGTACACATCCAGAAGCGGATGACTTCTCACGTGTTATAGAGGCTGTAGAGGTTGTACCATCCGCACCGGGACGCACACTTTGCACGCTGGCGCCTTACCTAGCCAGCTGTACTCAGTGACGCACCCATGTGGAAAGCTCCTCCAAACTTTTGCCATCACATTCTCCTCCAACCCCTTTTTACCACCTTTTTGAAGCTACCAATTTCCTTGAATATACAGATTTTCGCGTTTTTTCCTCTAATTTTGCACTCTGAACTATAATTTACGTTATTCGTCCAAAACTAGATACCGCGAATTATCGTGAACCGTGCCCATACGAAATGTAGCTCGAGCTTTACTTCATATCGTAGGCCGAAATCAATTTTTCGAAAGCTGAGTGGCAAAACGTAGCGATCCTGAGGTTGCTGACTTGGTTCTCCGTGATTTCTGATTTCTCGCTCGTTTCTGAGTAGGATAGGGAATTAATAGCTGAATGCTTTTCCGAACATACTCGGAAAAAAGAGGTGAGTCGGTTCATCAAGAATGATTGTTGTAGAAGTCGACGATGGAATAGAACGGGGAAGGTGCTTGGCAGTGATGATCGACCTGCTCCCAAAGACCAATCGTGGCCTCCTCGACAGGCTTATGTTCCATTTAGCGAGGGTGGCCCATCAGGTACTAAACTCCAGCAAAAGTATTGGATATGTCTAACTTTCTTCAATCTCAGGAAGCGGTAAATAAAATGGGACCCTCAAATCTTGCCCTTATCTTCGGCCCATGTATACTGAGGAGGCAGGACAATGTGCATGCCCAGGTATGTTCTTGAAGGTGGTGTAGATGAATATAGCGAACGGTCAAGGAAATTATTCTTTAGGAGCAACTCAACGACGTTTCGAGGCAGGCCATCTGCGTTCAAACGTTGATCGAAGAGAAGCTAAGGCAGTACAAGGCGACCCTCATCAACATTGTTGAGTTGGAAGATGCCAGTCAGAAGGTTCGTCTACATTCATAGCAGTTATTCACTAAGAACAGCTTTGCGAGTCATTTTCTTGAATCCTTTAGAAATGCTGATATTTTGTTCTGAAGTCTCATGTGAGTCTACCAAACACAACCTTAGCTGACTTTGGCCTTAGCACCCCATAGGAAAGTCTTCGCGCAGACTTAGATCACCTACATCTCTTCTCCCCCCGTACATATTCTAACAAGGGACTTTGCGATTCAATTTTCTCACCCGTTAGGCTACGGTAACNTAACCGCATAGGAATAGCGGCAGAGAGCGATAGCCTTCTTTGCTGTCGCCAGCGTTGATTCCGCACCCTCGAAAGTCCGCTGTTTTTGCCATTTCCCACTATACACAACACCTTCTGCTGAGCTAGCTTGAGTTCGGTAAGGTTCTTCTTGATCGAGTCCCGCCACTTCTTTATTAAGGAATCGTCGGGGCTAGTCTCCTTGAGCCTCGAACCCCATTGCTTTTCTTGTCGCATCAGAGTTGAGCAACGGCTCGTAGAAGGTGGGCGAAAGTGAGAAAACCGCAATGAGTGCGATAAACTCGAAGGCTAACACATGCTGGTGCGTGCCCGAGGATCCGAACGTACGCAGTGACTGGGTTTTCCAGGAAAGACTAGTGTGGGGAAGGTCCGAAAACGACGTATGGGGCCACCATGATGAGAAACTTAATTGAATGAGGCTGTACAGTGTTCAAACCTTGGCAAGCGACCGAATGAGATGGGATTGTAGCGGAACCGGCGCAGTAGAGGGTATCTCAGAGAGTAAAGCTACAATTTTCTTGGTGTTTCCCCACTGACATCATTCTAGAAACTAATCACCCAGCTGCCGACACTTCTCCCCGCTCGAATAGCGCGCGCGTGCGCGCGATGGGATGCGGCGAGAGCGACGCGATTCTCGGGGAGTAGTGCCCATGCCCCGAGCCCTCTGATAACAAAATCTCCACTACTCATAAAACGAGCTGAGCGCGATCTGAGTTTGTGATGGTAATAATCACAGGTTTCCCTCTGGTGACTACTCATTTCGTTTCCCCTAAAACCACTTGTTCAGGTCAGCGCGAATCTGCGTCGAATAGAGGAGCACCAACAGCTCGACGAGGCTGTGGAGAACATCGGAACGGCTAAACAGCTCTTCGAAGAACAACTGGACTTCCTCGGCAGGCAAAAGTACGTTTCCATAGTTCAAACTGCCGCGAATGTGGTTAATTTTATTCGTTTCAGGGAACGATTACTTCAGGAGTTACCTCCACTGGCCCCAGTTGCTTCTTCAGAAGATCTGTCTTCCTCAGATGAACACTCCTCAGGTGATTGTGTCTGGTTGTGTGCTATCAATGTGCGAATCAAAAAAATCGAATTCAGGCATTACCCGAGAGGAATACGCCATTGACATGGATGCACCGCCTGTGTTCGGCGTCTTGTACCATGCATGCAAATATCGAGCACCTCCTCCGAAAGGGCGACGACCTCCATCACGGTTTCAACGCTCTCCTGCTGTAGTATTCTACACTCCATTACCCGATTAGGGTAGTCGCTCATTGTTCACATGTGATCAGAGATTATAAAGAGTAAAAGAGCTAAATCACAGTAGGTGTAAGAAATCGTTCTCAATGCATACGAAGATTTCAACAGCAGTGCGACGGACGCAGAAACGCCCTAATCAAAGAAAATGAAAAATCATTCCAACCTAGGCAAGGCTCAGAAAAATCTTTCACTGGAACCTTTCCAACAATGTTCTCGACCTTGGTGACAAAGCCCGTCATCCCCTCTACGTTGACAAAGCACTAGTGGACACGAACAGATGGAACTAGTAGAACCCTTGTATTCGCCGGGTCTAGGGGGGTCTACCAGTTCAAAGAACAGTCTTGAATATTGTCTGACCTGATGTGGGGATAAATCTCAATTAGTTTTGACTTAATGTTTTGTCAACTGCTGTTATTTCACAGCAGTACGCATTCCGGAAGTCTCACAAGGTTGAAGATTTGTGGGCAAAGCTCCGGTCTAGGACGGGACTCGAACCCGTACTTGTGCTTTCCGAGCACCGTGCTTTATCATTTACACTACCGAGACCTGAAAATCTCAATTGTTTTCCGATTTTCAGGCTTTGAAGAAGGCGAAGAGGCCGAAACGTCAGGTCAATGATGGCCCACGCTGTACAGCGTACGGGTTTCGATTTTCAAGTTCAATGGTGTATTCATCTTGAATCCTAGGTAGTGTACATAGCTGTGTCAGGTGTGAATCTGACACAGCTACGTACAGTACTTAAAATGTACTTCGCAACAGCATCCTTTCTCGACACACGATAAGTAGGCCTTCAGAATCCCGAACGGCACCTTCCTCACGGTGCGCTCCGTTGCGCGCGTCCTTCGAAACTAGGTCACGCCGCAGCCGTCGCATGCGGAGGGTCAGCCCGCGATATTTGACGGATGTCGCAGTTATCAGTGGGGCATACGATTTGCGCTTTCGCCACGGCAGACAGCCAAAGAGAAGAAAACACGGACAAATGCGAATCGTTCGCACCACTGACACTTGGTGGTACTGTAATGTCGTCTCGAGGCCTGACTGTGGTGGGCTCGAAGTAGGGGGGAGGGGGTGACCTACTTTCGACGGACGCGCGCAACGGACTCCCTTCCTCAACGTTGTACCATTTATTATTTATTAATGAGCACTTCAAATAACAATCAAAAGAAAACCATAAATTATTTGAGACACTTGCTCTTGAGATGAAAGCCGTTAAGGAGCATACGAACCGGCAAAGGAAAACTCGACACATAAATATCACAAAGAAGAATACCGGAATAAATAAATTGAAGCAGATATTGAGTAACAGATGAAACAATCTAAACGCAAATTTGGAAATATAAAGGCACTGTCAGTCCTGCTTACGACCTAGGTGTGCTACTACGACCACCCTTTTGAATACGAAGGGAAGGAATTCGAGTCGGTTTCTCGTCCGCCGTCGAATCCGATGCACGAGAATGGGAACGAGATGTCGGGGTCGCCAACGAGTCTCGGCTTGTTGTTAGCAATCCCCGGCTGCTGGTCTCTGAAAGAATTAGGTAGTTTGGAAGAGATTAAGGGGTCGCACTCAGAGCACAGCAGGATCGACTTACCCATATCGTTATCACCCTGGTCTCTTCTATGCGGGAACATGGGTATACTTCTTTCTGTCTTTTCACGGATTTTCATTATAGGCCCGTGCACCTGCAATGAATAGGGCCGATGAACCTTGTATCAGCGCTAAAAAAAATCAAACCGTAGACGTACCGTGTGATGGGACGAGCTTCTATGTCGACCTTTCGTAAACGCGCGCATCGTGTCGATGGCTGTGCTTGGGGTGACATCTTTGTAGAACATATCGATGTTCAGACGACCTCAAATATAAAAACTATCACGGATCGTTTATAAAATGACAAGGGAATGAGTATAGGGAACTCTTAGTTCCTTTTCAGCATTTTCAGTTAGATTCATGTATAGAGTTTCCGTAACCATTCCCGTGATATTGAGGTAATAAGGGAAGATGGAGAAGCTCCAAGCGACATACCAACCCGTGAATGGCCCGGGACCGAATCCTGATACAAACCCGCCCAAGACCACTAAAAAATCCCCTACTACAAGGATTAATAATTGGAAGGGGAAGATGAAGTAGTGCCAAGTGCAAAACTAACCCGTGAATGGTCTGGGATCGTATCCAGGACACAAACCTACCCAAGACTACAAAGAATTCTCCCACTATGAGGATTGTTAATCGATAAACGCAAACACCAAACACCGGAAATCTTTGCATGGGCCCAATAAACGTTCGAAACGTCATTTTGATTTGTTGTGGAGGTAATATATGGAACTTCAATTCTATCCGTCACAAACCTTTGGCTCTGCATGGATCATGTTTGGAGAGAAACTCGTCCAAAGCTTCCCATCCACCTCCCACTCGAACCATCACCGTCGATCGCAATATGCGTACCATTCGCTTGATTTGGGTGTCACCAAACTGAACGTTCGCAGTAAGTACGGAATTATGCGTTACTGATCGGTTTAAAAGAAAAAAGGCGTACCCGATAGTGACCATCAGCGACTTTTTCGATTTTGTACTGTTGGCAGCAACTACAAGCATTTTTCTGCTTCGTAATCTCTTCGTTAACTTTCTCGTGGTCAGTCATAGGTTTCAGTTCACGCTGAAAATAGAGGCAAGCATGACAAAAATGTGCTTTCACACAGGAAATCACCACAGTCCTTACAAAGAAGTCCCTTTATTTTTGAAAAGCTTTCCAAAACGGATACGGGCCATGTGAATCTTTCAAAATGTGCACTACAAATTGAATCACTTGATTAAATCAAAGTCTCTGCATCATAAGCCTAGACTAGAACTATCAGAGCAATATGATCCTTCAGTTTAGTACCGGGTCAATATCTAGGCGATATCTAGCTTGGATAGGGATGGAAACAGACATCCTAGCATCAAGGACACCTCCTTGTGGTAGTTTCCACAAATAGACACAGCAATCATAAACACGAGAATTGATGGGACTTCCCTTTCTCCACAAAGCCTTCCACCTATGCGTATGCTTCTTTGTTGCTTGTCACTTACCAATCAAACAATCTGAGATGGAATAAAAGAAAATCACCAAAACACTCACAGATCGATCAAATCGCAGCGCATCAATAAATTCTTTCGAGTTTATCAAACCATCTCCTTTGTCGAATAGATCCGCTACTTTGTTCATTTCCAAACGTGATGTGGGGAACTCTGAAGTTAGGAAATCAACGTCTCAGAGATATCAGGCACAATTTTTCAACCACTTTGATATTGCTTAAGACACAGTTCACGATAATTTGGTGGAGGCCAGTTTTAGAGGAACAATAGAAATGTTAGTCCAGAATAGTGCGGAAGTGGCGAAAGGACGCACAAATCGGCGTATTCAAAGAGATATAAGGTTCCAAAAAAGTACTAAATCAGGGATAGACGAGAATGTGACGATCAAAGTTGCATGGGAGGGTAATTGGTCGAGCTATTCGAATGTGTGTGAATTGCATATAGCTGACTACAGTAAGAAGTCTGCAAGGAAGTGTCTCGGTGCGAATGGTGCAACTTCTACAGCCTCTACAACGCCGTGAGAACTCGTCCGACTTTGGGTGTGTACATCTAAACCGAATTTGAAGCCCTTATTACTCCTTAACTGGGCCGTTTTTCGACACGACAGCGTCTCTTGTGCTATCCTTACGGATCACAGGTTCGTCCAAGGAAAGAGTCCTAGAAACCACTTTCATCGTGAACTTCGTCTTGACCAAAAGTACACGCCATCAAGCCAAATTTACAAAAAATTCAAGGTTCCGAAAAGGTCCGTGCATCACGGGAAACAAACAAATGTGGTGAGAAACATGCACTCAAAAACTCTCAAGACGAGGATATGGACTTACTAGAAGCAAGAACTGCATCTATAAACACGTCCCGCGGTATATTACCCGTATGGGAGCGGTCATAACGACGGAATAAATCGGAAACGCGAGCCTGAAAATGATTTCACTTTGAAATTAATTTTACGAGAAGATTCATTATGAAACTACCTTTCGGTGATCATTCCATTCCACATACTGCTCCTTCCACTGCTCCCAGCGCCATCCTTCCAATCGACGCATTTCCTCGAGTAATTGGCGTTGACCCTCTAGGGCCGTTTGATGACCGATCGAGTCCAGCCACAACTGTTTCCATTCGTCAGAAAGCTTCACGGCAGCAGCATTGCTGCCAAAACTCACATCAGCTCCAGACCGTTACCCACTGATTAACGACTACCAAGCAAATTCCTACCTTTTGCCCTTTTTGTTGACTTTTACAGCATTATCAACATCCGCTTGTTTCTCGCGTAGTTCGAAATCAAACTCCTCGTAAGTACGCTGAGCCTTACGCATCTGTAACAGGCAATGCTGATCTGACCGATTTTCCATCATATCAGTATATGATACTCAATTTACCGATTCTAAATCCTGTGGGAGTGCCTGGGCGAGCATTCGATTCAGTTCTTCACGTTTATGCGCAACAAATTCCAGCAACTCGAACAGAGCCTGCTCGCGCTCCTTCTCCTGCTGTTGCTGGTCCAAAAGACTGAATTCACGCTCCGATGCTCGTTCCTCTACGTCCTCAAACAAATAGAATTAAACTTCTGAATTATCATCGTTCTACTGGAAACCCCCACCTTCCATCGGTTCTCAACAACTCGAAGCCAATGTTTCAGCGGTTGCTCGGCTCTCGGGTGGCATTTGGCCTGGAGAGCTCTGCCGGCCTCGAGACATGCGTCCCGATTATCGCGAGCGTTACTCAGTTCTACTTTGATATCTTCAACTCTAGTCAATGCCTGTCGCAGGTCGCTGCTCGAAACCTGAAAAGACAACAATCTGATTAGAAACCACGCCCTATCAGAAACCACGCCCTATGACTCAGAACACAGATGAACAATTCAGTTCTAGAGGTACTCGACATAATGAGGACGAACCGCTAGTCTTCCTTCGATTTCCACTAGCCAATCAAGTATTTCATGAACTTTGGTGTCAAAATCAGTTGCTCGAGCTAAGGCATCCTCGAGGGAAGCCATGCGAGCTCGGGACTCATCCTCCAATTGGGACCACTTCTGTTTCACCCGATCGCAGGCATTTGTGATGTTATCGCTCTCATCCACATTATTCGTCGATAGTTTATTTGCCTAAACAGATCAAAATCGTGTAATTATCGGAACTGTAGCCCATTCATCCCCTAAAGGAACACAGCAGACCTTAGCCACAATGGTATCAAGAGCTCGTTGCTTTGATAGACGCTCTGTTTCCCTCTTCTTGTGCTCGTCGGTCAAGACTCTCACAGTATCGATGTCGCCGAGGACACGATCACTTGCTGCAGCATTTTTCGCCAGTTCCGCATCAATCCAAGATTCCAATTCCAGTACAGCATCATCGAATGCACTACTGTCAAGGAGGGCCTGAACAACGTCCCAATCATCTTCAGGGCCAGGACCAAACAAACGCCGTAGAGCTCTCCGACACAAACCTGCTCGACAGCTATACGTCTCTGATTTGCTTTTTCAAGTACCGTATTCCAAAGCTTCTTGAACCCTTCATTCCTGGAGAATCGATTTCGATATTTAACACGGAAATTACTAAAATTCGAGATAATTCCCACATTTCATTGATTTGTTTCCCTTCTGCACGCGGTGCATGGTCAATGAGCGAACGTCCACGTTTGTAGGTGGTGTCAAAACTTTGTTGACGAGCTGCCAACTCGGACTGTATTTTCTAAAAAAAAGATTTTTAAAAGCATAGTCGTTAAGAAAAACACCTCTGCTGACCTTAATGTCATTATGTTGTTGTTTAAGAACGTTGACGTTGCCCGTGGGAAGTTGTTCATTGGATATCTTCAGCCCAATGTCTTCCAGCCAGAGTTTTAGGTCGTCAACGCCGTTCATCCATACTCGAGCTTCATCCAATGCTGCATTCAGTTGCTGGAATTACGAGTTTCTTCCAATTTGAAACACCTCATTACGAAAATTTGGAGCGATGCACGACGATATATTCGAACCCTTTGGTAGGTCAGAGGGTGTACCCCACCTTGAGGCTGTTCAAGTTTCTGCTATACAGAAAAACGTTCGAAAGAAGTCGTGACAATGACGATGTTCACCTTGGTTCTGTCAGCTGTTCTACTCGCAACCTTCTCAAAACGATGTTTCAGTGATACAAGCCCATTCTTGATCGGAATTGCGTCCTTTTTCTCGCAGTAGTATTGAAGCCGTGTTCCAGCTGCTTGTTGTTCTGCCATCAATTGCTTCCTGAAGCGCCATCAACATACATGTGGTCAAAATTGTACTTTGAAATCAGACATTGATCATTGATTGATTTCGATTGATCATCATCATTGATTTTGAAAATAAATAAAAAATACACGGAAAATACGGTTACCTCGTCTGCAAACATAAGTTACCTAGAAAACCAGGTAGTTACCTCTCGAAATGAATGTTTGCAGTACTAAGAAAAACATGCAGTTACTTGGTTGTCGGTTAACCAGTTTGCCAGTTATTACAGCCCAGTCATAAGAAGGTCTGAGTTGTAATAGTTGGCAAACCGACCGCTCCTTATTTGGAGCAAATAATACTTCTCGGAACACGAAGTTTGACAGAGGACTAATACGACATGTAAGTGGTATTCAAAATGAGTCAATGCCTATGCCTATGATTAGGAGTTTCGTCCTGTTGCTATTCATCTTAAAAAATAATGACCCGTTGAAAGTTTATTTGGTAGGCAACCAAAGCCTCGAATAGTACTCCCAAATGTTGTCGATAATAAGACTATAATTGACTGTCGTGATTAATGAAGCGGATACGGATGTATTATTTATCTCTTTTGAACTTCTCTACGGATATATCATTAGGTGTGAATCCAAGATTATTAGCAGTCTGAAGATTTTGCCAAGAATGACCCCGAAGCAGAGGAAAACCGTAATCCTTCAGTGAGTCACGATTTTTGCTGGGAAGCGGTCGTAATATTGAATCGGTACCTATCCCTGTACTTACCCTTCTTGTCGAGCGAAACGTATCAAAGAGTCAAAGCTAGATCGTTAGTAACAGAAACATTCGGAATTAGTCGGTGGTTCTTGATTTTTAAGGCCTCTTTTATCGTCAGTGTTCCCATCCTGTCGTCAGTATTACTATCTCACCTACTACCAATTTTGAACCCTCCAATTCTACGGAAACAGAAGTTACAAATTCCCGCTTGTAAAATTATTTTGAGCAAATCTGACTCCTAAGGGTGAAGCCTGTTCTTGCCACCCACCATACGTGTTCCCATCCCCCCCCAGGTTTAGTCCGATTCTGCCACTTACCGTTAGTGTTCCCATCCTGCCGTTTCTACTCCTCTCAAATTTGAACTCTCTAGATCCACGGAAACAGGAGCTACCAATTCCCTCTGAAGCCCTGGCCAGGCTCACTGTGGGCGGAGTCTGGCTCTGATACTTACTTGAGGTGTTCCAACGCTACCTCCAGTATTCCTACCAAATTTGAACGTTCTAGGTCCACAGGAACAGGAGCTATGATTTTCCGTTCACTACCCCGCCCAATGTGGGCGGAGTCCGGTCCTGCTACACAGCATAAGTGTTCCCAGCCTGTCTCCAGTACTCCTACCAAATGTGAACGCTTGGGGTCACGGGAACAGGATTTATGAATTTCCGGTCGGACACACACACACAAACAAACAAACACGAGCACACAGGCATTAGCGTTTTATATATAGCGGGATAGTTACTCACCGCACAGCGACCTCGTCCACCCATTTCTCATTTTCCAACAATTGTTTCTCCAGAACATCGACAAGACGACTTATAGGGGCCTGTACAAAGGAAATACAAATACCAACACATAGGTCGATTGGTAGCGATTCAGTAACTGTAAAGAAGGCAACTTACCACGGCAGCCAATCGCTGTTCTGCAGCGGCCAACCATTCAGCTGTGTCACGCATCGAAGAGTCAAGAGCAACTGCTTCTTCCAAAGCCAGTTGAAGCTTCTTTTCGCGATCAGCACATAATTCCTGAAGATCATCGTATTGACGAAGGAAAGGTTGGTGCTTAGGCGCAAGTGGAGCACAGGAATGTCCCGGAGAACTCTCACCTTCACTTTGGACCACTTATTCTTAATGAGGGCGTGATTCCGTGCCATCCACGTTTGCGCATTAGCATCAGCGTTATCAAGTGCTACATCAGCATCATGGATGTACTTCTCGATTAGCGGCTTATTCTGGGCTATCTGAATCGAAACAGTGATCAAGGCATGGTGGCCGGCAAAGCTGAGAGAACGCCACCTCAGCACGCAGCACAAGGAAGTCGTCCATCTGAACTTCAGCCGTTTCCGGGAGGCCACCGGTTGGTTTTGTGGTCGCCAGCTGCGATTCTACATCTTCCAACCATGCCATCCATTGCTCCGTCTCCCTGCCTACCTTCTCCGCATCTGCTTTGGCCTTGAACAAGCAAAGCAATTCCTTCGGAAGCAAATCACAAACTCTCGAAGGATCTTACCCGCTCCATCTGAATAGTCAACGCCTCCAGAATCTCATTCAGTTCTCGCCATTCCTTGTTCATCTCGTTCATCCTATCCAACACGTCCGTATTTCGATCGTCTCGCAAAAGTCGCTGGGCAGCAGCATTCAGTGTCGACACACTACAGTGAAGCAATATTAGGCATGAAGAGGAAGCAAAGCAGGTCACTGGGGTGCGAATGGGCCCATTTTGTTCTGCTTTGTCCAGGATTTATGAGCGACTATCTAAACAAAGAAAATGACAGTGCGGCACTTATGGCAATCGCTAAACCCATAGCTGCACCACTTACGATGACTCACTTGGGAAAACCACCTCAGACAGTAGTTTCATCCATAAAATATTTCAAGAACATCAAAATACATAAGCAGTATAGTATGCTGACTGTGCCGGTCATCAGCATGACCTCGGAGCCGGGAGAAACGAAAACTCAATAGGGCACATTGGTCTTACAGTAATCCCGGCTAACGGTCCTGGTTCGAAAGAGTGCACATGATGCAATACTAACCCCTTAGCATGCCCTCGCTCGAGGTCCCTTTTCGATGCATCGTATATGTGACGATTGAAGATTTGTGTATTCAAATAGGGTCATGCCGTAAAAGGGAATGATTTGTTTGTGGAACTTGCGTTCAACGCATTTTAGTTTACGGTAAATTTTTGTAAGACTAATGTGGCATACTGAATTTTCGTTTTCGTGAGCGGGAAGAGAAGAGAAGGGAGAAGGATGGGTACGTAGATGAAGGAAAATGGCCAAGGGAAGTAAGGAGGAGCCCTGAAGACCAGTTGAAATGTAAAGGAAGAAGCTTTGCCGTTTCAACTGATGATAACCCAGTAAAGCCCCTTTTCGATCTTCTAACTAACGCGCTCAAAAGACTACTTCGTGAAGCCTTATCACACCCTGTACTGGACCATCGGCAAATGCTGGGGTGATGTGATTGAAATGAGCTACCAAAGCATCAGGATCAAATCGAGCTCCCCTAAAACTGTTTCACGAACCTGCTCTCGTGAGCATGGATGTCATTCGAGACGACAATCAGCTGACAACGTTGGATTTCGAGTTGTCGAAGTGCCGGTGCAGCGACGGACAATTCATTGAGGGTGCCTCGAGTTTTTCTCATCCATGTAATCAACTGTTCCACAGCTTCTGACAGGCGACCCATTTGTAGAAGCATACGCTCTACCTAAACAAAAATCTGTTAGTGGCACGATGTTTACCTAACCAAACAAACGTTCCCAGTCTTCCTCAGATGTGATGCTCGTCACCAAGAGGAGGGTAAAGAACTTGAGGACAGAGAATGAGCCATGCTAAACATTTTTTTTCCTAATTCAGGCCTTTGGGTCACAATCAACTTGTACAGGTCCCTTCAGCGACAGGCGAACATTTTGGAGCCGAAAGTTTTGGGTGGATCCAGCCGAAAGGTTTATCGAAAGAAGTGGGTTTAGTTCTTTCAATGGTTAATCAAAATTTTTAATTGGACCATATTTTGGTCCCTGAAAATTGGAGTATCTCGAGGATAACCAACCTTATTTTCTCTGTCACACAGAGACGAATAGAGTTGAGTCCATCGCAGATTGAGCTTGTTGATGGGTTGACGAATTGCAGCGGCCTGATGGATCGGAGCACCACTAGCTATCTGTGACGCCGTGTAGCAGAGTTGTTCCTGAAAACATGACCAGGACTTTCCGAAATCAACGCCGTTGAAAAAAACGAAAGGTTCCAACCTTCAGTACAGCTTGACTGTCCATTTCGTCTTTGAACGCGTGCACCTCTTCCAACACACGGGGAATTTCGTCCACCTGATAATGGGCAAAATCGATATCTGAGATGGTCAGATGATTGACGCCCATTAAGTTACCTTCACTGATTCAGCTGCTGGTAGCAATGCTAGTCGTTTTTCAGCAACGTCCAACCAATTCAGAAGATTAGAGAGATCTGCATGGAAGGCCATCGCATCTTCCATCGCAACGACAAGATCCCTGTGGGAAAATTGCATAAGAGCTAACACTCGGCGGTTAAGGGTCCAACTAAATAATCTGCCACCTCCTGCTCAACCTACCTGTTCTTGTCCGCAAAAAGTTTAGTGATAGTTGCCCATCCGTCATGTACAGCATCTACTTGGGCATTGATTACTGTTTGCTCCTCAGCTGGAACGATTCCTGAGAGGGCGACACCAGCCTACAAGAAGTGAATACCCTCCGAAACCACGATTATCTTTGGGTGGCAGATCTTACTTCACGGAGTCCGACGAGACGATTCTCGGTTGTAGCCATGCTGCTGGCCACAGTCTGCATTTCGACCTGTTGTCGCTGCAGTTGCTCAGGTTGCCCAGCTGCTGGTTCGACGGACTCCAGCCTCATACGCAGATCGTCTATCTGGAAACAGAACAAGATGAAAAAAGAAAGGATAAAATTCAAGAGAAAAGAGCCTACAACTGCTCCGGAGTCAAAATGAGGGTCAATTCTGATAAGAAAGACCTCGAGAACACCAAGAAAGAACGAACCGCTCTCTGACACTCATCGAGCTCATTCCAGAAGTGATTAGCCTTCGCCAGTATCGACTCAAGGAAACCTCCACGATCCTCAGCTTCCTGCTCAATGCTCTTCCATAAATCGGCCAACCTTCTGAGTTTCTCATTGACTTCCTGTCTGGCAGAATCTTCTGAAAAGACATATCTCCTGAAAAGAGCCAATACAACTACGAAGAGTTACTTCTTCAACTGACCAGGTGGCAGTGATGCAAGAAGTTCAGCAGCGCTCTCTTGCAGTGCAGCGTAGGCAGCTTGTTTCGATTTGAGACCTTCTCTTAGTGCAAGATTTTCCGCTATTTGAGACTTTAGTAGTGTCGGATCCGAAGAGACTGAAGTGTTCTGACGGAGACGGTCTGATGCTCCTTGTAGGGTCTGTACGAAGTTTTCCAGACGTTCACCAAGTCCACTCGTGGCATCAACAATGCTGTCCAGAGCCTGACCACGTGCTTCAACTGCTTTTCGCATATCGCCATACCTGGAGAGAAGAAGAAAACTCCCATTGAGTCAGTCTATTCATTGCGAAATCAACTGAATTCAACTGAATTGCGAATTCAAGAAAAATTAGGGAAAAAATCATTGTTAGAACAAACTTTGCAACAATCTCATCAGCGAGCTCGCCAAGTTTCACGCCGTCTTCGGGGACACAGATCTCCTGCAGTGCCTTGACGTCGCTTTTAAATTGTTCCACTATTGGAACATACGTCAAAATCGCAGCAGAAAGCTCCTGAGCGGAAAAATCTCAGATTCAGCACGTTTTAGTTCACAATAAAGCTTGGGCGTACTGCGTTGTGCTCTCGTTGTTTCCGTAGCTGATGAGGAGGAGTCGCTGTGGTGAGATCGGGAGCCGTACGAAGCTCATCATCGACCTGATCCAGCCAGTTAGCAAGCCGATCAAATTCGACAGTCAGATGCTGGGATAAGGCAAGGGCGCGCTCCAAAATTTCGGTGCGGTCCATACAGAGCGCAGTAACCTGAAAACCAAGCGTTTCTATGGAGATAAAAGGTCTTAGGACAGAAATGCAAACGGACCTCGTCAACCAGCTCTTTTGCATGATCGCATTGTTCGGCAAGAGCTGTGCTAGACTCGCCACCTTCTCCACCGAGCTCACGACAAACTTTTTTTGCTTCAACGGTAATCTCTCGAAGACGCCCCTGAATCGATTGCTGAAGGAAGTGAAGCGGGAGAACTCTGCTGAAAAACTGTAACCTTATTGGCGGCGACGTCGTCGTTCATGACGAGTTGGTTGCGAAGTTGAGTGCGAGCGAAGTCGGGATCAATTGACGGAGGGCCTGCAGCGACGACCCTGTCGCGAGCATATCCGAGCCATTCGAGGAGGAAGCTGAGCTCGTCGAACACCGCGCGGCTCTGACGGTCAGCAACATCCAGGCGTTCAGCACGACGAGCCACCTAAACTCAACAATTATGTGGGTGGATGAAGGAACACGTTCAGTCACGGTGTATCTTATTTCAAAGAATTTTTTGAGAATCTTCCCAATTGAAAAAAACGTCTTGGGAGTTCAGATGGTGAAGTACCTTGTCAGCAATCTGATTGACACGTCGATTCATCTCTGCAGTGCTCTGGAACAGTTCCTCAGCCTGATCTGGGCTGCTCAGCGCTTGAAGTTGGGATGAAACGGCGACGAGGTCGTCAACTTCTGGACGCCAGTGGCTCACTCCTTCTTCCATGGAGAACACTAGCTGAAACCATTGGTTATAAATCAGATCTCGATATGAAAAAAATTGAGGACAGTATTAGGGTGACTGCCCAAGGGATGACTGGGAGCTGTCCCTACCTGGGTCTGAGTGTCAAGGTCTGCAGTATCAATCTGAATAAGATCTTCTTCAACGGCTTCAACCCACTCCATGACAGCTTCGAATCCTTCATGGAACCGTTCTGAGAGTGGGATCGCTTTTGCAAGCAGCTGCAACTTCTCGTCCGCAACAAGCATAATGTCTCCGTATCTGAAACAAACGATACTCGACCGTTTCGCCCAAAACGTTCCGGTCGAGAAGGTCTCTCACAACACTAGAGTTTTTGCTGAATTCGAACCTTTTTTTCAACTGATCCATACGATATTGTAACGGAACCGCTTCGTCACCGGTAGATTGCCTGCAGAGCTGGCGGCCAACTTCCATTACAGCTGATATCTCCGCATCCCTTTCTGTTATCGCAGTGACAAGATCCTGACAAAATAATTGTCTAAACTAGAAAAATAAATACGTCATCAACAGCATGGAAACGCACTCCAACGATGTTGCTCTGCTCCGTGAGATCATCGGGTGCGATTGCAATTTCACTGATCTCGTCCATTTTCTGCTCCATATCACCCAGCCATACTTCCAAGCTATCGAGATCCTAGAAGAGCTTTAGGACATTGGGTAAGAGGAAATGAAAAGGAGCGAAGAGGAACATACGGCAAACAAATCGTTCACGGTAAGAGCCATTTCTTGAAGCAGATCCCTGGTGATTCGAACGCGATGGGCGATGGACTCGTAGCGACTAGTGATCTGATTTGCTTGAGATTCCAGGCTATTCGCATCCTCTACGCTCACCAGGGCGCTTAGCATTGGAACGATCTGAAAAAGCTTAGCAACGCCGGAGGAACAATATGTTATAACGTCATCATTCGAAGGGGCATTTTAGTTGTGGTCCCCATCCGGAATGTAACGCTACATAAGTAATGCACAAACGCTACTATGGCAGCAAGTTTTGAAGGCTTTTTTCAGAGAATTCTATTTGAATCGGCGCGAAGATAATGAAAATCAAGTTTCATTCAACTCACGACGAGAACAGGAGCAATTTACAGCTAAACGTCCGACGTTGTAGGGCCCAGTCAATGAAGATTGCATAATTGCCTCTTTTTTTCGTTCAAAAGTGATGATAATGACCAACATTGCCACTCAGTGCCCTCCCACTTTTTTGATGTTTGAGCAAATTTTTTGGTTACTGCCACAACTTTGGCGAACAAACATCAAAGCGAGGTTGAAAAACTGAGTCAGCAGAAAAGGACTCAAGTGGAGAATGATCTGTTGGCTGAAGGTTTCCAAGTGGTAGTTACTACGTGGGGAGACATTTGATTTCAATCTTTTTCCTGATCAGTATTTAATAATTTCCCTTATTTAGTTAGATAATGGTGTCGCTAATTCGCCGGTATGGCCTTTGCCACTGATTTAGCTTGAAATTTAACATAAAAAAGGCAACGAATGACTTTCATAATGACATGCTCTATGACTTGAAGTAAAGGTCTGAGATTTTGAATAAAAAAAATTCATTTGAAAAACGATTATTGATCGTTATTGACGTGATTAACACGATATAAATATGGCATATGAAAAAGAGGAACTCACAGCAAGAGCATGATCCACATCCTCAGCTTTCTGGTAAACTTCATCGTCAAGGTCTTTTTGCTCTTTCAGCTGCTCTTCCATTTTTTCCACATTCGTGGGAATCTTTCCCAAAGCATTTAGCCGTTTTTCAGCCTTGAAACATCAAAATCAGTCCCCCGCAAAATTCTGAAGAGATATTGCGCTCGAAAAAAGACCTCACTTTAGCAAGCCACGATTCAACAGGAATAACGCCCTCCGATAATCGTTCTGCCAAATCGACGGCTTCGATGAGACGTCTCTGACGATCATGAGCTGCAGCAACGAGCTCATTATACCTAAAACGTCATCATTAACTCGAAGTATAAACGGCCAAACTTTAAAAACGCCGGTCAAATCTGCGTAGGTCTCAACAAAAAAGTTACCTTTTGTTGATTTCCTCATCTCGTTCCTTCAAAGACTTCACTTCCTCCTCCACAGTGGTCATGGCGATGAGCTTCGCAATTAGGGCTGAGAAACCTTTGACGCTGAAAATAAAAATTGAAGCTGTTAAAATATTCGAAAAAATTAGAGCAGACCTGAAGTCTTTGTCATCGATATGTTTCATGAGTACGTCGTAAGCATGAAGCTGAGCTCTCGCCACCTAAAATGATCCATTTGTTAACTCAGAACAACATTTTTCTCATGAATCGCTCGGGTGGCACCCACCCTGGCATCAGCGGCCGGAGGACGCTGGTTTTCCATGAGCTCCTCCGTCTCTTCAATCCAATTCAGCAATGACTTGTAGGCATCTTCGTATCTGAAACTCATCAAATCCCTCGTGACAGCGAGTTTATCGAGGTGCCCCACACTCACCTTCCCAGTTGTTGAACAGCGGAGTCCGCTTCACGTTCCTTTTCGGCAACAGTCGTAGAAACTACTGACCACATATCACACACATCTTTCATCATGTTATCCTAAATCTCATTTTACCGTAAACTCCTGAACAACCACAAATACAGGTCATGCCGTAAATTCCCCTCAGGATTGCAAAAGCCGCTTAGAAAACGTACCAGTTCAGCAGTGTCGGCTTCTGGCCCACCAGTTCGTATTAGCAGCTTGCATTCGGCAACAAAATCATCTACCTTGAATGCAACAAAAACATTTTGTCATAATTGGACAGATGGGACAGGCGATGACGTACCCGAGCTCCAACTGCTTTGAGGTTATCTTTGAGCGTTTTCAATTTTTCGGCTTGAGCTGTCGGATCGGAAACCGTTACAACCGCAGAAAGTGCTTCAGAATCACGCAAACCATTCAACTCGCCAATTAGTTCAGCCGCATTCCTGGAAAATTTTTTGAAATCTGGCCTCTTAAAGACTATGCATTCCCTTGTCTCATGAACATATCACAAAAGTCGCGAATGCAAGCTAGCGGTAATCCGAAACATTCAATGTTCAGCGCAGTAATAAAACCTACTTGTGCACGGCTTCCACTTCTCGAATCGCTTCCTCAATCTTCTTCTCTCGTTGACCCAACTTTTTTCGAGCTTTTTCAATCATCTGAACAGACTTCATTGAACATGGCCGTAAATATTTTAACAAAAATAATAAAATCGGCTGTAAAAAATATCCAGAAGATGGAACATGGGAACCATCGTTTTA